CATATAATATGACTCAAACTAATTAATTTCCTAATTAACTACTTATCAAAGGCACAAGAGAAATTAGTTTGATTAAAAATTATTTATTTCATTTTCTAATATCAGCATTATTTTTATTTTTAATTAATTGAGTCAATTTTGTTAGATATGATTATTAGTTTTGATGATGTCAAATAATAGCGCAAAAAGTTTGCATAAATTATTTATCATATTTTGACTAACTACTGTACTTAATATCTTGTGTAGTTTCCTCAAGAAAATAAATGAGTTATATGTTAAACTTTGAGTTATGAAGATATGATCAAAAGGAAGAAGAAGAAGAGAGATTGAGAAAAGAAGAACATACAAGATCAAATGAAAATATCAAGATTCAAATTCATAGATTTGACATTAGAGGTTGCTATGCTCAATTAGAAGTTTGAATGGCTTAATCGAAAGCTAAAATATACAAACAAGAAGTTATTCCATCATATATTAATTCACCCTTCATATAAATATTAAAAATAAGCTTCAGAGATAATTTTCATGGGCATTGATCGATCAACAACTCGATCAGACACTTATCGATCAATTTATCAAGTAAACATACACTCTGTTATGTTATGTTCTTCATCAGCTCTGATATAGGTTTGCTATTTCTCTAATATCTCTTAAACCACACATCCGTTTAAGGTGAAACTTGATTCATATGAAACTAGACTCAAAACACAGTTCATAGACACCAAGATCAGCTCCAAAGAGTTTCATATGAGAGAGATATGTTGTTTGAAACATTGCAGTTGGGTTTAACACCTTTGTTCTGACCTTCAGTCACTATGATGAAGATAACTTTGTGACTACAATGAATTTTGAGATGGCTCTTGTTGCATTAGAAAGTACACTCAAAGAGCTTTCTAGGGATAGGTCATTTGCAAAATTTGGAGTTGAATTGGGAGATTCATGATCACTCAAAGTTGACTTTCATTTTGCTTGAATCAGAATTTGAATTTATTGGGGCAAAGACTAAAAGTTCTACATAAATTGATTAAGCTCTTGAGAAACATGCTACTCAAATATGTTATTAAGTAAAAGCACTAGAAGAAATGAGAAAATGAAAAGCCATTACCAGATGTTACTCGAGCCTGATCAAGCAACTACATACTCGATCACTTTATCGAGTTCCTCGTACTATCTCTTCAATTTTTCTTTTTTATCTTCATATGCATTACTAAGGTGCTCAAGCTATAATCTATCTTTGAAAATCTAAAAGTACAAGTAATCAATAACATTATCAATTAAAGGTTAATCAATAAAGTTATCAAGGTATTGAGGAATATTTTATTTTCTACATCTGAAACTTTATCGATAACATCATTGATAACACTGGTTGAGCATAAGTTGTTGCAGCAAATTATCAATCATTTAATCAATAATTTATTGTTTGATAAACTATCAGAAAAGAGCCATAAAATCACCTGATCGATAAAGCTGTTATCGATGAAAGCTCAGATAAATGGTAAAGTCTCTCCATTTGCTTAATATTCTGAACTATTCTTCTTTTATTGATCACTTAATCGATCAAACCTTTATCGATAACTTGTTCGAATATTATACGTCATCTTACTTCTGGTTAATCGATAAAGTGTTATGTCAAAAGCATTCGATCAAAATCTTTATGGATCAATCGATCGATCAAACATTTATCGATCATTATCTTCACTGCATTAACTTATTTTGAACCATTTTTTTGATCACTTGATTGATCATTGGTTTATTGATTAAATGATTGATCATCCAATTTTCTGAAACTTCTGTTTCACATAACGTGATCGAATAAGGTTTTTCCTGGCCTTTCTAAAATAAGTTTTCAACGATAATTTATTGATCAGTTAATTGATTAATCTTTAATCGATCATTTACTCTATCATCGTATATTTTGTGACTACACTATGAAAATCTTTGTTAAACTTTTTTATCTATCAGTTTTCCTATCAACCATTTATTGATAAAGTATTCGATCAATACACTTTGAAATCATATTTCTCTTATATTTAGCTTTATCGGTAATATGATCGATTAAACATTTTTTTATTATTGAATCAATTCATTTCATAACAGCTATTCACGATGTTCTTCAAAATCTTTCATCTTTTTATCTTTAAGCTTTTCTCAGCCTTCTTTTTACACATAACTCTCTATTGAAAGGATATGAAGGCAAATGTAACTTGAAAAAGTTTATTCTTGCATAAATCATTTATGGCTCACTGTATTCATGTTTCACTATTTATCGATCAATTGTTCTATCATTAAATGATCCATAAATTACTCAATAAATGCATACATCTGTTAAGTCTATTTCTCCTGTAATTAATCAATAATATGATCGATCAAGGCGATCAAGTAAGTTCATCTTACTTTTTGAATATATGAATATCTGATGATTGATTCCATGTTTTTCAACTTATTGTTTCTAAGATTATCAGATATTTATCACTTGATTTGAGAAAGATTATTTTAGGTAAAGAGCCACAACGAATTTATGATGTGAAGAATCAACTTTTGTCAGAAGCTTCTAATAGCTAGTTTCAACGGTCATATTCTTCGAGCCAAACAGGAAGAAGATGCTCAACAGTTAAATACCCAACATCATCTATAAATAGAAGAGCATTCAAAATGAGAAAAGAAAGAAGAGTCTGAGCTTACAATATCAAATGCTAAAATGCCGAATCAACATATTCTCATTTAGAGCTCCGAGAGAAAACCCCCTTTCTTTGTACTTCAAAAACTATAACTTATGTATTTGTAAGATAGAGAGGAGAGTTTCTCAAACCTGCTTAAAATTCATCTATCACTTCTTTGAGAAAAGAAATATTCAATCTTCATTATCATTATCAGATTGTATCTTTACAGTGTGTAAGGGGGAGTATTTACCTCAGTGTAAGGTTGCTATTGAATAGACTAATTAGTCTAAGGATTGTAAGTAGCATCACAAATGCCCAAATCAAACTTGTGATTATAGTGGTTCTCAAGTACCCATGTTAAACTTGAGAGAGATAGTGGATTGAAAATCTCAGGAGGAGCCTAGGGAGTGAACGTAGGTCAGTGAGGACCGAACCAAGATAAATCACAGTTTGCATGCTCTCTTCCCTTACTTTTTTATATTTCTAGCTAAACCATTTTACTACTGTGATTATGCTTATGTCAATTCATGGTTTATATGCTCATAATTTCTTATGAATTTCATTACATTGCGAAAAGGTTTTTAATTTTAATTAACACCCAATTCACTCTCCTCTTGGGTGATCAGCTACTTTTACAAATTTGAATCGGTCAATTGAAGATAAGAGGTCATTATTTACGATAGAGGTCCACTAGCATTAATTTTCTAAACATTAGACAAGTCTTTCCTATTTTTTAAATGTTTTTCAATTATATTTTTAATCCTCTAGTTAGCTCAATTCTAGACTAGTATGTGACTGAATATGTATTGCTTATTTTATTAAATATTCTCCTGAACCATTAAATTTTATAGAATATTAGTAGTGTTTTGTTCTCATTTTATACTTTCAAGATTGTACATACCATCATAACACACAACTTATGATCTTAACCCTTCATTTATACCACATGACTCGTAACTTATCATGTATGGTGCTAACCATCCCAAACTGACTAACCAACTAATCTCTATTTGTTTATTATTACCACTACTACTATTACTAACAGATAAAATATGAGGAAGGTTATTGTAATCTTAACCCTTTATTTATACAATATGATTCGTAACCAAAGAACAAAAAACCAACCCGAACCGGTCGGTTCAGACTGGAAACCTGTGAATCAGCCACTGATTCGGTTTGGTTCGTCAATAAAACTGGTGGGAGATCAAACCAAAATGAACTGAAACAAACCGGTATAAACCGGCATCAAACCGGAAAAACCGCCAGTTAGGTTGGGTTGTTCGGATCATTGCTAAAAAAATCGCTCAAGGAAAAAAAAACATAGAAATCTGATGAAAAATGAAAAGGTTAATGGATAAAAAAAGACAAGAGAGGAGGAAGAAGAGAGCCAAAAGGAGGAGAGGCAGAATACCTGTCAAATCTGAAGGAAGAAGAAATGAAGGTAAGAAGGAGAAAGAAGGACAATGTCCGGGAGGAAGAGGCAGGGAAAAGAGGAGCTTGCAATCATTTTTTGCAGTTAGAAGGTAGAGCCTGACATTGTTTTCCCTTTTGAAACATAGAAGAAGAAGAAGAAGAAACTACTATACATGAAAATGGTAGAATTCTTCAGAGAGAGAGTGGCGGAAGGAGACAAATGAATTTGAAAAAGAAAAGAAAGAGGAGAAAGAGATGAAGGAAGGGTTTAGAGAGAGAAAAAGAGGGAGAACCATAGAAGAAGAGACAAATGAATTTTAAAAAAGAAAAGAAAGAGAAAAAATTTGAAAGGTGCTGTATGCCTATGCCGTGGAACTACAAAAAATTGAAAGATTAGGTAGACTTAGCACGCCTGTCAGTGTTTCTCTTATTTCTTTTGTTTTTTAAAGACTTGTATTTAATTTTTTTTATCTGTTATCATATATAAATACATATTATATAATTATATAATTGATAAAATAAGATGAAAGTTTGATTCCATTTTAACCCTGATCAGACTAGTAAACCTTAACCCACAGTCTCAACCACTTTGATTTCCGATCCGGCTTTTGTTCCTTACTCATCACTAAACATGTACGGTGCTAACCATCCCAAACTGACTAACCAAGTAATCCCCATTTATTTATTTATTACTACTACTACTATTAGATGACAGACACGAGGGAGGTCCGCTGTAGGGGGGGAAAAACTCATCTAGGAGCCGTAAAATGAAGTGTCATACACGGTATTAAATGAGAAATGAGAGATCCTCTCTTCTTTTTGTCAAGCATGACAACGTAAGCTAACCCATTTTTAATATAAATTCCTCGTTTATATTTCAACTGAACCCATTTTATTAAATGAGTCGCGCGTGCCAAGGAGCTCGAATCGTTGAAAAATAGGATGAAAGTAATAAACCACTCAGACATAAAAGCTGTTGGGAAACCCCCCATGGGATTCTCAAAGCAATAGACTTGGGGGCTTCTCAAGTAATGATACTAATATGATTCACGTAATGTTACAAACCCTGGCGTCCCTCCATTGTTCAGAGTCACGCCACGTGAGACAACTTTGTGCCAAGGACAGGACCAAAACATATCCCATGAAATACTTCCAAGTGACAAGAAAATTAGAAATATATATAGAGACAGGCCTTAACAAGAAGAAAGACCCACCCTCTTCAAAAGATTACAGATTTGGACATGGACGCTTGCTACCGCTGTGCCAAAACTCACGTGTTTTCCATATATGCCTATGCCTATGCCTCCTATGCATACTCAAATTGCATAATATCAACCGCTACCCTCTTTCCTCACTCTAAACGAAACTTAGTAGTCATGAGAAGAAATGAATGGAATACACGATTAGGAAGAGCCATTTATTGGTTGGGAAGAAGCTGCCTCCGGCAACCAATTCCAGACTTTCACTTGACCTGTTCCATCACCGGTGAAGAATAAACCACCAGGACCAACCTCAATAGCTCGAACCTCTTGCTTTGTAAAAATCTTGCCTCTCTCTGCGAAGCTGCACAAGAAATGGGTCGTACAAAGTGATAAATTCGGAAATAGCTCAACCTCCCCAATGAAAAAACGACAAAGTTGACATGTTCATCAATTCATAGTGATTTAAGGTCTCGTTTGATATGAGGTATTGAAAATGAAAAATAGGATTGGAATTGCAATTGAGAAAAATCATTAAAATAGTATTTAGCATAAATAATTGCCTATTACATGTAATTAAGCAAACCTATAGAGGTGGGATTGGGGAATACCACTTTCCCCCATGGTATTCTCCAATCCCACACATATGGATTTGGCTAATCCCATATAACAAGCAATCTCTTGTACTAAATACTCTCTTAACAGATTTGCTCAATCTCAATCCTTAATTTTTAATGCATCATGGAGGTTGGCATAAGATGGGTGTGGCTAAGCATGTCCAAGGGAACATTATGGAAATGGAACTAAGGGAAAAGTAAAATAATAAAAGTTGGGAGACAATTACTTACGAAGGCAGATCATAGAGGTGTACAGTATTATTGTTGCAAGAGCACAGCAAAATGGGCTTGCCTTGTGAATCATGCATCCCACAGAGTTTAATTACACCCTGAGACAGATCATACCAACATCCTCATCACAAACATAAACTAAAATAAATATAATGACATTGTGAGAAAGCAGTGAGAAGGTGAATCTGAGAACTATTATTAGTCACTGAGAGTACAAGCTGATATATAGGTGCATATGACACAGTGACTAGAGTATGTTGCAACAAGGTACAAACTAACAGTTTAACTAACTTCATAAATAACTCATAATACTTAACATCTTCCCTCAATTTGAACTACCCTTTTGTGACACCCCTCATGCCTAGATATTGTTCAAACTGAATAAAGGAGCACTGCAGAAGGGCTTTAGTTAGTCCATCTGCTACTTGATCAACAGTTGGAATATAACAGACTAGAAATTCTTTCTTGATGACTCTCGTATAACATGGAGATCCAGCTCCATATATTTGGTTCTAGTATGTAAGATGGGATTGGCAGGTCATCATTACTGTCCTCAGATTGTCATTTAACAGGTGCTGGTCGACAAAGATTCACATAAATCTCTTGGAGAAGTGACTTGATCCACAAGACCTCAGTCACAACTGAGGCCACACTTTGATATTCAGCATCTGTGCTAGAATGAGCTAGTATTGCTTGTTTCTTTGACAATTAAGCAATCAAGTTAGAGCCAAAATAGATATAGAAGCCTTTAGTACTAAGTCTGTCATTGCAACTGAGGCCCAATCAGGCATCACAATAAGCTGTTCTATTGAGACAAGGCTGTAAAACCATCCCATAAGTAAGTGTGCCAGCCAAACAGCGAAGAATGCATTTGATTGCCTTCCAATGAATCAACAGAGGGTTCTGACAAATTTTATTGACAGCAAAGCTGACATCTGGACAAGTGAGAGTGGCATATTGATGAGCTCCAACAATGTGAGTGATAGAGCTGTGGATTATCCATAACATCAGCGCCATCCTTCCAGAGTTTTTTCAAATCCTAGAGTCATGGTAGTGACTACACTATTGGCATTACTCATTTTAGCACCAGCCAAAAGGGCTGAGATATTTAGTTTGAAATGGCTGTATATCGCCATCTTGGCAACTTTTGACTTCAATGCCTAAAAATCAGTTCAAGGTGCCAAGATCTGAGTCAAAATCCATCCTCCAAGTCAGTAATTAGATGACGAATGCAGGAATGAGAGGAACCGGCGATGATCAACAAACACAAGTAAACACAAGCTCACTTGAGGTAATTTGGATAGAGAGGGATAGGGGCGGGGGAAGATCACATCTGCTTGCACAAAGCCAGATTTGGTGAGAACCCTTCCTAAGCACTCAAACCAAGGTCGTGGAGCCTGTTTGAGCCCATGTAATGCCTTGTTCAGTCTGCACACCAGGGATTTGTCTCTGCTTTCAAAACCAGGAGGTTGAACCATGTAACCTTCCTCCTTCAAGTAACCATTCAAGAAGGCATGATTAACATCAATCTGATATGCCATTTCTGAGGAATTGCAATTCTTAGTACAGAGCAGATAGTGACAGGTCGAATCACAAGACTAAAGGTCTCACGAAAATCGTAGCCCTCTTGCTGATGGAAACCTTTGGCAACTAGATGGGCTTTATACTTGCGAGCAGAGGTGACAAGATTTGTCTTTCTTCTAAAGATCCATTCATCCAGCAGCCAATTGCCTTGCAATTTGGAGGCAAGGGAACTAGAGACCATGTACCATTCCTTTGAAGAGCAGCAAACTTTTCTTCCATTGCATTGCGCTAATAAGGAGATTGAAGGGCTTCTTCAGGACCATCCAACTGGAGTCAACAACGGCATCAAGTGCCTTAGGAACTTTTTATCATTGGATGAGAAGAGGTGGTGCGAGTAGCAAGAGCAACAAGTGGAGGAGAATTAGATGGAGGAGGACTAGAAGAGGAAGGTGTAGGTGGGGTAGGCAATGGGTTTGTAGATGGATCGGATGATGACAAAGTATCACGGTGATTTGAGGAGGGAGCAGAAGCAAAGGGGGTAACGCTGGATAGTGAAGGAGAGTCAATTAGTCAAGGAAGAATAGCAGAGGTAGAAGTTTCTAAAATAGATCTGGCGGTCATAGGAGAGATTTGCAACAAGGTTAAATATGGGAATGTGCTATCATTAACATATCTCAAACAATGCAAATCCTCAAACAGAGCCAGACATTTTTAACCTTAGTGCATAGGGCTAGGCCCAAGAAATCACGTTTTGTTCACTTAAATTCAAACCTGAGTTGTAAGGCAGAGTAAAATGAAAACACATTTTGTTCAGAGAGACGGAATGAGCAAAGGCAAGATCATCATTCTTGTACTAAAAAGAGGGAAAGAACGGAAGAGTCAAGGGAGACGCTGTGGAAAGATCAGAGGCTCTTGATACCATGTGAGAAAGCGGTAAGAAGGTAAATCAGAAAACTATTATTAATCACTAAGAGTACAAGCTTCTATATAGGTGCATGTGACCTACAGTGACTAGAGTCTGTTACAACAAACTATAACAGATTAATTAACTTAATGACTAACTCATAATACTTAATAGACATTAACCATTTTTTCTAAACGACTCCACCTAGCCTCAAATCATGCATAAGTATCTATAGATTACACCAACATGAAGATGACACATATCAAAACAAGATACTCAAGATAAGAAAAGGTCCACGCTTTGAATATATTATCTTCCTTTACCACGTTGATGCAGCGACAAGAATGCCAATATGGTCGCATGGAAACAAAAAGGTGGGACATAAACTTGTTAATAATAAATGGAACATAAATTTTTGTGACATACTGAACCAAACCATATGAGTAATCTAGGCATTATAATTTCATAGACATAATAGGCATAAGCCTTTGTAATCAATTTCCGCATCATACACATACCAAAATTGGTTGTCTTCGTTGTCGAAAATTCATTTCTTAACTGATAAGATTGACAACATGTGTTTACAATAGCTATACGTAAAAGTAGTTTTTCCTTAATGCAAATGGGATAGAAATTAGGAAGTTGTTTCCCTAAGACCACGAGGTATCATAGATAGTTCCAATTCAAATTAGACCAAGTAGGGTTAAATATAAAAGAGAAAAATGAACTCATACATACATCTTCCTCATTGTGAGTATAAGTAACTTCCAAGTTCCCACTTTCTGTAGCTACCCAAACCTGCACAAACAAAACACATGAAGCCAACAAAAATTAAATCCACAAAGTTAAAAAGCATACAGAAAATCAGCAGATAATGTGAAAGTTGACCCAACCTTTACTGTGTTGTCCAATGAACCAGATAAAAGAAACTGGTCCCAGCAAAGAACAGACATCACAACTGAAGTATGCCCAGTTAAAGTCTGCAAACACTGCAATGTCTCAAGGTTCCAGACCTGCAGACAGAAATCAGCAAGAAGAAACGAATGGCATTATCGCAACAGATCAATTCACACTATCACATTGGTTTTAAGGACTAAAAGCAAAGCAAACACAAAGATTATGCTTCTGACAGAATGCTTACAACTTTGTAAACTTACTCTTATTGTCTTGTCCATTGAACCTGAGTAGAGCCTATTTGCTCCAACAACAAATGAAACAACAGGACCAGTGTGACCCTTAAGTGATGTAACAGGCTCAAAAGAGTTAGTAGCCGCATTGAACTTCCATGCCAATATAGACCCCTCCTGCAAGAAAAGTACTTCACTTGCCATACCCAGATATAGAAGGAAAAACAAAATAAAATCACACATAGGAAGTCTCATCTCAAATCGCTTGAGCCACTGAATAATAAGCAGAGCTATATGCCCCATATTTCTCAGAAAGTTCAATCATACAATGAATTTTGATAATTAATTACCTATTTGGACACATGCACTCTGGTATAAAGAACACAGCTATGCCAGCTTTAGTTAATTCCAACAGACTATTCTTCTACTCCTCGTTGTGGGAGTGAAAATGAAGCCTCAAGCACTTACCATTGGTTATCCTAGTATAGGTCTACATATTCAATATCCACGTTATTTGTCCCTTCATATGCCTTCTCTCTTTTGCTTCTTGAACACTCTCTCTCTCTCTCTCTCTCTCTCTCTCTCAGTGCACGCTAACTCGATACTTAATAAACTCAAAGAATAAGTTTATTTTGATTTTTTAATAAAATATTCGGAGCATGCAATCATATGGCACCGCATTTCAATGTTGCCAAATGCAGAAACCAACACGCACCTAAGCAGAAGTAGCACTTCCTGCGGTATTTTGATGCACACTAGCCATTAAAAAATATCACCTTCAATGGTTCTTCAAGTGAAGCTACCCTAATACTTGTCCCTTCGAGCCCATTTTTTGGGGCCCATTTAGTTCTCCTTTCAGTCTAACATCTGCATTCCCCATTCCAATGCCCCTTATTCCCCCAACATCCCCACCCTAGCATTCTGTAACATGAGAACTGAATTTGCAAAAGGGAAAATAAAGAGGTTGTAAAGGATTAAGAAATCCATTATTTAACTAGTTTCCCTCTGAAAAGACTTTTAAACAGGAAAAATACCTTTCATTTCATATAAAAATGATTGTAATTTTAATTACAATTTTAACCACAAACTGAATTAATAAACTTTAGAAGGAGTAAATTATAATTTTTTACCTTACTGCCCTGGTTGTCATATCACAGAATAACCTCAATTTTGTCCACCAAAAAGAAAAACCTCAATTTTCATGTAAACAATAGGAAGGCAGCTTGTTCCCAATTTCACTATTTTTAAAAACTTCCAAATCTAGCTTGTTATTTATGGACATGCAGTACCCTAACATTCCAACAGAATGTTCTGTAAAATTTAACATTCACTCAAGCATCCATAAAAAGCACAAAATTGAACCACTTCCATTTATCCAACAATATCTAAGCACCAGACATTTTAAATTCCCATCAAAAACTCCATCAGGAAAGAAAGCATAGCTGTTAACAACGATAAATATCAAATTTTACCTGTGTACCAGCAAAAAGCATATTGTTACCCACAGCCAAAGTGTAAACTTGTCCAGCAGGGCCACTCAGACTCAGTTCACTCGATGTTTGAGTGTTCCAAGCCTGCAAAATCAACATCATCACCCAAACTTGGCATTAGTCACACTTCAATGCATGGAGTAAAGAATATAGATCTTAGCAAAAGGAAATATTACTAAATTGGACAAAGTGGACTACATTTAAATGTTCAGAGTGTGAAAGGAGAAACAGAGAAAACAAAAAGGTGATCAGCTTTATCTTACCTTAACACAGTTAGGAACACCAACAAAAAGCCAAGGCCCTTCACAGATCATGCAACCCACTTCACAACCAAGACCAATCACAGCCAAACACTGCAACATAATATCAACAAACAATGACAAAATCAAAATTGGCTCCTTATCGTAATAAGAAAGATAATTACAAACAGAGAAAAACAATAGTACAATGTCCACCTCATAACTTTTACTCTGACAACGAAATTTGAAAGAGAAATAGAAAGGAACAAAAAAAAAAAATCAACAAAATGAAAGGGGGCGGGGGTAAGACCACAACCAGTCTCCTACTTCTCATAAACCCTTGTTGCACATAAGATAACAAGGACGTGCGTGGAGATTGTCAAGCAAACACCAAGAAGTTGTAATTATGATTTTTTCCTAAGGGGTCAATCAAATTTTTATCATCATAACAAGCTTCAACTTTTGAGGAAAGGGGATTGGGGGAACAACTTTATTTAAGAAAAGAAGCATGGTTTTAGCTGGAGGCGCAAGAAAAAGCACCCAACAATAATAATGTCTGGATCCATCGTAAATAATTTGATGAGAACCACGCAACTTGAGAATAACTTAACACAAACAATCAGTTATGAAATTAAACGTGTCCAGAAACTCAAGCCTCTCAAAACTTTAATCAGGTGCCGGGTATAATAAACTTCCATATATAGTCATATAACTTGAACTACTTTCACGCATAGTTTGGGAGCGGAAGAAAAACATTAATTTCAGATAACAATATTGAAGAAAGACAAAGGAGAAAATCGGATAACAACCTGACCAGATCGGCAGTCCCAAAGCCTTACTGACTCATCTTTACTTCCAGTATAAAGCTTATCTGAACCAGATGGCAGAGATATTCCAGTGACAACCTGTTCATGTGTTCACAACCAGGCCATTAACTTCGAGTCTTCAATCCCCAAAGCGCACCAACCATGAAAGATTAAGTAATTCTTTACCTTCTGATGCCCTTCAAGCTGCGTTAGTAAGGAAAAACCATCCCCTACACTCCAAGAGTGCAGGTACTTGCACTGGGCTCCGTAAGTACAATTCCCCTGAATCCAATAAGTACAAAGCTTTTCGGTCTTCCTAATTAATTTATTACCACCACGAACACCGCCCCACGTTGACGCTCCACTAAAATTCGGATTCCTCCGTGGACCTGAGAACCCTGAATCATCAGCGGACCCATGGGACCTTTTAGAAGAAGTCCCGTTGGCGGTTGGAGGAGGTAATTCACTGTGTAGAAAGGGGCACGGATATCTATTGCACCTGCCTGCCTGCCAATGATAACACACTTTCGGTTGCTTGGCATCGGGAGGAGGACCACGGAGACGCTGAAAGACACGCTTATTACCGCCATCTAAATCCATAACTTAGACAGATAAAAGGGGCTGATTGTTCTTCTTCTGAACTGATGAGGAACAAAAATTCAAAATTCTAAACTTTACTATAGCTTAAGCAGCAACGGAGGAAAGAATAGACGGGGGACTCCGCAAGGTGGAATCCCAAATCAACCATGAAAGGGATGTTGAGATTGGCTGAAAATATAATCTGGGAGTGTCGGGCGCAATCATCAAGTGCAAACCTCTAAAAATTTAACCTTTTTCGGATTAGGATTAAAAGAATTGCTTGCAGAAACCCTAATTTTCTGCAGGATCGAATAGGGAGAAACGACCTGGTGAGAGAGGAGAGGGGAGGAGAAAAGCTCCATTTCACAAAAGCAAATTATTTATTTGAACGAAGGCGTGACATTTACGAAGACGTGGAATGTCCTTATTACCCTCCCCAATGATTTTTATTTTTTTAACATTATTGATATTTATTTTATTTAATAATTTTAAAAATCAGAGACTAACAAATCTAATGGCAAAAGATCAAAGGATAAAAAGGATATAATAATTTCACTCAAAAAAAAGAAGGATATAATAAAAATAAGTCCTACGCCTAATGCCACGTTTGATAAATTGGGATTGGGCCTAAAGAATTGAAAGTGGAAGTGGAACCCAAATTTAACTGGTTTGGTGTGTATGAAGTGGGTTCCTAGCAAAAGCGAGTTGTGCCAAATTTGACGGAACTAGGTTCCTTGGCTACCCCCATGGAACTGAGAGGAGTTCTCAGAAACTTGAAATTTTTTGACCATTCTATCCTCTATTATTTTATTAATTGACAAACTTACCCACCATAATATAACCACATTTTTCCTATTCTCCCATGACCGACGGCCACCTTTTCACCCTTCGTCCCCTCCGATGTCCTCCTTCGGCACCCGCTTCTAGTGGTCATGGCCTTCCCCTCCAGCATCCCCTTCAATCTCATTTTTTGTATTCCTCCATGGCTTCTCCTCCACCACATCTCACTTCTTATCACCGATCTCATATACTCCCTCATTGCTATAGGCAAAGCACGAGCTCAGGTCATTTCCCTTCGATCTCGTGCTCATGTTGTCTTCTCCCTTCGGTTTTGTTGTCATTGTCCTCCTCTTCTTTTCTCCTCTAGTAATGTGAGCCCAGATTCGATGCCTCCTACTGCCGCCGATCTTCATTGTGGTGGCTTGTCGATCTGTGACTACAATGAACCTAATCCCTCTCCGTATACCCCTACTCCTTCTCCACTGGTTTGGCCAAAGCTCATCACAGACAAAGGTCATGGTTTCTAAGCAATTGCTCTGTGTTGTTTCGATGCTGCAATGCTTTGAATATAAGATTAGTTTTTGTAGTTCTTGACAAATCTGGGTTTGATTGAGATGAACTGAGATTGATTTTCTTATGAATGAGCTTGTTTTAATTTGATTGGTCATGAGTTTGATTTTGCTGGTCAGTATAAGATTTTCTAACAATGCTCCTCTGGACGCTGGCCGTGGATGAAAGGAGAGGTGAAGAGATATTTTTTGAGGGTATCTTAGTATTTTCTTATTACAAATATATATATTAATTAAAAATTATATCTCAATTCTATCACCCTACCAAACATGTTTTAGGACTCCCTTCCACCTGTACTTCCACTTCCAGTTCTACTTTTATTTCCACTTCCACTTCCATCAAAAACTTTTCCATCGTACCAAACATGACATAAGAACTTCATTTTAAGATTACGAAAAATGGCTTCTTGTTATCAAATAAATCAACAAAGTAAAGTAGAGAAGAAATAGAAACAAGAAAATGAGAGAGAATTATATTGTGCTCTTTCACTTTCCTCACTACACAACTGACAAGCCTTTTTATCGGCATAATCTTACACATAGATTATACTTGTACTTAAATAATAGATAGTGAACAATAAATCACATGTAAATGAAATGTAAGTTATAATATTAAAGGTATAATGGAAGAGTAATAGAATAATAGAAGTAATAAGAGTCACTTGATGACTTTGAAGAGGAAGACGAGATAGACATTCATAATATTCATAACACTTCCCCTTATATGTCTATTATGCAGGACAAAAACTTAGTGAAAGAAAAAAAGTATACATTCATTAATACATCATCTAATACTATCTTATTAAAAACCGTGCATGGAAAACCTAGTGAAAGAAAACCGTAGACAAAGAAAAGAATACAATGTGTACTAACTCCACCTGTTGGAAAACATCAATCAATATCTCTAAATTTGCAACATCTTTTTTAATATCACGAGACAAATACTTCATTTGGGATTATCAACATATGAATCTGACAAGAACCTAGAATCTTTATTCCAATGTATTTGTGTTAATGAAGAACTATATCTTATTAGTAAGTTCACAACAAATAATATATCAAGTCATGTGTGACTAACAAGATATATATATATATATATATATATAAGTGCATCAGTTGCATTAAGATATGATATTTCTAGACCAAGTAGTTCTTCATCACATTTTTCATGTCTAAAATAATCTTTATTCACCTCTAAGGATCTTACAACTATCAGAGTATATAATAGATATGGTTTATCCATACAAAAACACTTTCAAACTTTTCTTGTACAAGTTATTTGATATACAAAAATTTCATTTCTTAAGCATTTAATTTGCAATCAAAGGCAAAATTTTGTTCTTTCCAAGTTCTTCATGTCAAATTCCTTCTGTAAGCAATTCATAGTTTTTGTGAGCTCTTTAAAAGTTTCAATGATATTTATATCATCAACATAAACAATAATTATGGCAAACTCATTTTTCATGTCTTTTCATAAAAATATATGGTCAAATTGAATTATTTTTATACCTTCTCTTTAACTGATATTTACTTAGTCGGTTATACTACATATGTTCTAATTGCTTCAATCCTTATAGAGATTTATTTAGCTTAATTTTGTATTGTTTTCAAAAACTTAAATTGTATGCTTCTAGCAACTTGAATCCGTTAAGAAATTTTATATATTTAATCCATAACTATAAAATAGATTGTACATACTCAAATTATTTTCATCTTCGTAACGTTTTATATATTGAATGATTTTCTTGTACATGCTTTTAGTGCATTTTAAACTCTTCAAAAATTATCATGTAAGGTTTACTATTTAATAAGCCACATACATAGGTTATAACAATATTTAATAGACACATTTTTTTTCATATATTATCAAACTAAATATGCAAAAATGATTATGCCCACCATAAAATAATATGCCTCATCATAATTATTATAAGACATTTGTGAAAATCTTTATTTTCACATAAATATTCATATACCCATAAAAACTTTATATTTCATGTGTTTGAATTACAGGTCTATAATTATCACATATTGAAAAAAAACATAATTATATTTCCGTTGCGTTTTTTCTCTTTCACTTTTCCTTTTGGTCAAATTTCTATATGTTTTGCATGGCATATTTGTATATGAGATCCTTCTTTTATTGTGTGATATTATTATCAAAACCATTCTCAACAATTTTATCTTTTTGATTCCTTTTCATGACATAACTTGTTGAGATCTTTTAACTATTTTTTAGGTTTTTGAACCTCTTCTAGCTTTTTTTTAATTAGATATGTCTTGGTACTTTTCTAGAATACACGCTTCTTCGATATGATTTTTAAATTTTATGCTTCTATTTTTCAATATATTTGTATTGGAACCGATTAGTCTTTTATACTTCAAGCATATCTCACTTTCATTTATACTAAATGGAGCATTTTCAACTAGAATAAAAAATTTAGAAATTCTCATTCAGGTCAATAATTATATCTGATAGATATTTTGTAATATTTTATGAATACATTGTTTGATAAATTTCAATACATAATCCTCAATAATTTGTTATATTATATAATTCAAGATGATTAAACAAGTCATGCTAACAACAAGTCTGAATAGATTAGTAAATTTCTGGTTTATAGTACCATGTTTTTTATTACCAACAATAAACTTTTCAATTTCTATAAAATATGATTGATTTTATATAATACCTATTTGTGAGATTAATTGAGTTTTGCGAAAAAATATAAATAGAACTTTATTCAAGATCAACTCACACTTATATTCCAATAATCTCTTCCTCAAGTGTGATTCATACAAATATGATTCTCTTATTCATGTAGTTCAAAAATAGTAACTAGCATATAATGGGCCAAAGCCAATAACATATCTTTCGCTTAGAAGTTTAAGTACTTTTGTCATTTATAATTATGGATTTTCATTCAATTAGACTATCACCTTTAGACCTTTTAGAGGACCAAAATTGTGTTGTAGATCTATGGGTCATATTTTTTACTATTAATTCTTTGTCTACCCATAAAGAAAAAAATATGTATTAGTTATTCAAGAGTTATATTAATATTGTTGCATATAGTGCTTGAGGAACTAAATAATTTCAGAGGAATGTGAAAACAAATTCATTTCAATATATCATTGACATAATAATGAATAATTATAAATATCATATATTTAACTCGCAATATGTATAGAGAAAACACAAAAAAGTAGAAGATCCTTTGAAATGAATTTTTGAAAATAAAGTGCAAGTTGAACATATCATTCAAAATTTGTCAACATTAATCAAGATACTACACACACACACATTACTTATTTGCAACAATTAAAATGTGTCATTTGGGAATTTAAAGACTAATAAAAATTAAACAGTAGATAGCCTTCTAAGCTTATAGTTATATCTTTTTTATTTTTATAAATACTTTGTGTATTTTTCTTCACAACTTATTGCCTTGGGTATCATAATTACTTTTAATATTTTTCATAATATTTCATGGTCTTTTTGACTTCATAACCATTTTTTTACATTTACTTTTAATGAATTGATACATATTTATCTATATGACTTTCGGACATAACATTTGCTTATAATATTAGTATATTGACCATAGAGGTATTACAATTTCTGTTGTTATGGTTCAATATTCTAGACCCATAGTATTGCCCTTCATTTATTAATTCCACCAATACAATATGGTTATGTTTTTTATCACTCTGATAGACATGTTTTTTTGCTTTCAGTAGAACATCATCAATTTCTTCAGGACACATATAGCAAAATCTTTTAAAACTATCATGGTCTTTTGTGTCATTTGATATTTGACCCATTAGCTTTTAGAACTTTGATATTTGTAACCATTAGATTATCAAATTGTCATAATCTTTTCATGTGGCTACCACTATAAGATCGTTTTTATCAAAAAAATCACTATCAAAAGTGATGTGGCTTTTGGCCATCTCATCGAAAAATTGAGAGT